ACACCGACTTGACCTCGCTGTCGTGCCCGTCCAGCAGCACGGCGAACCGCCACTCCTCGTCCTCGTCGCCGCCACCGTCATCGTCAATTCCTGCCCCATTGCCATTCGTCATGTCATCTGCGTGATCCCGGGTGTCGGCACGGTGACTAACGGCCCAATCCTCTGCTCCACGCTCCGTCTGCCCGTAGCTATCCCAGCGTCGCCAGATGCCGACGGTCGCATCGAAGCTGCCCGTGGCGAGTACGCTTTCCCCCTTGACGTGCGGCTTCCAGGCGCATGTCCTTACGCTGCGTTTATGACCGCCCGATATGGTCGAAAGAAGCCGGAAATTAGTCAATGAGTAGACACGGATTGTTTTGTCGGAGCTGCACGTCGCAACGATAGGGAGAGTGGGGTGCGGTGCGGTCAGCCAGGTACGTTCGAGCGATGGAGGAGTGAGATCCGATAGGAGAGACAACTGGGCGAATGATTCGGCTGCCATGACAATATATCGTACGTTTTTGATATTCCCTTTCCGTGTTCTCCCTACTCCTTGTTTTTGTGTCGGGGCTGTCGATGTTGTCTGTGATCAGAGACCCGAGGTCAGCGCAGGTGGGGTTCTTCTAAGAGCGGATTATCGTAGAGCTGGGTCGCTCCTCGCTCCGACATGGCAAAGTCAATGAGAAATTCCTTTCAAGGTTATCACGTCTATATTTGAACTTGCTGTCAAATGGCTTTGGTGTAGATCGATTGTTATGTCAAAGAAAGTGAGAGCAGGCGAGACGGATCAAAAATCCTCAAAAACTGTCACCACAGCACAAATTTCTTCTATTCTCATTGAATCATTCGTGGCATTATGCTTGGACTCAGAATCTAGTAATTGTGAAAGACAAGGGCAAGAGAAAACCAAACCATCTAGTAAAGATAAATATCCAAGAAAAAAGATCCCCCGAGGCGGAATACCAAACGGCTTCATACTCCTCCTGTTCCTTGGGCTAGGCCTTCCTCCAATATCTGTTCATAGACCATGCCATGGCAGAGCCAGTCCACCTCTCGAACCTTCTCCAGTTCCTCAGTCAGTTGTCCAACTTCGTTGACGAACTCCGGCATGCCTGCCCCCGCCAGGCTCTGGCTTGCTGTAGTTGTTACTCGTACCCTCTCACTGGCACTTGAAGCGCTCAGACGACAAAGAACATGAGCGCGAAGGCGAGACAGGATGAGTCGGGCCACGGGGTCAGTAAAGCTTGTTGGGCCAGGCGCCATTCGGCTTGATCCGGATGTGCTATCTGACTCCCAAGATGATGAGGATCTTGGCGCGACGAGGTCACTTTGAACTTCGATCGATCCAGGTGAAACCGCAACGCACGCCGTAGCCACGGGCGCCAAAACTCGCCGGATTGTCGCTGAAAGCTGAGCACTCGCACTCGAAGGCATGGGATGCGTTGACTCGAGGATTGACTGCACTCGATCGGGTTGGATGTCGTTGAAGTCTAGAGATAAAATCCGGTCCGCTTCAGCCTTCCATTGTGACCGCACATCCCGCTTAAGGAGGTTTTTCGCTGTGAGCAGAATTGAGGCGGTGGCTACGATTCTGAAAGCCCGCGCATGCAATTTCCCCAGCCGCTGACGGTCCAGGTCCAGAGTCTCAGGAACGAGGTCCTCGGATACAGGCGCGTTGCTCAGCACAAGGTCCACAAGACCTTGCGCATAGATCTTGGGAGCCGGCGGGTGAGGCTCTCCATTGACATTCTCAGGATCGCGTTTTTGCATCTCATCCACGAGAATTTTGCGATTCGTCCGCCAGAAGCGTCGGCTCTTGCCCAAGCTAATAGACCCATCCTGTATTCCCCGCTCAAAGGTCCTTTGCTCGTACCCGGGAGCCTCTTGTATCAGCTGCGGAGCAGAAACCTGGATCATAAAATTGGTATGATCCAGAGACAGCAGGTCGATGAGGCCCATCAGCCTCGCCAGACGATCAATAGCATCGCCGGACGAGTCCTCCTCAGCGAATGCCTTGACCGCAGCATCCCGATAAGGGGCGCAAAGCTTCGGCAGAATGTTGTTCATAAAATCGAAAAATCTATCATAAGAAAAGGTGCCAGCTTTGCATTGGCCCTCCACAAGCTTTGGGTCAAGTACCTCGCTGATCAGAACATGGAGCGAGTTTCCAGGTCGGAGCAAGCGTAGCAGTCGATCTTGGATCACTGTGGCCATGGCGACCATCCAGTTTGCACCCATCCCAGCATCTACATCTTTCCGCATCATATCGCACATATGCTTCATAATCTGCTTGCGGGGTGCCGTGTACTGTGTCTCATCAACTTTGTACTCCTTGTTGATGAGAAGCTCGTGTACCAGAGCGCGGTTTTCAGGTAGAGCAGTAAGCACTTGAGTAAACCGCTCATGCGGAGAAATCCTTTGCTTATCCAGCTCTCGAAAGACTGGACTTTCCACGTTGTTGAAGCTCTCGCTGATGGGCGAGGCCACGCTCTCGGTCAAGGCCTCCGCCGATGAGGGAGCTACTTCGGCAGATCGCGGGATGGCCTGCTTGGAAGTGGTACGCTTCCTCTCCCGCTTGACCTTCTTGAGCGAGTCTCGCACCATCTGCATTGCCTTGTCCGAGCCAGCCAGACGTTTCAGCCTGGCAAGGAGTAGAATCTGATTCTGCCTGATGCCTTGCCAATAGTCATCGGCAACACCACCGGCGCGGTCATCTTTGACCGTCTGCCATATCAACTCTAATTCTATGAACTGAGCAAGCATGATCTCGATCAAGACGCTAGAATCGTGAGTTTTCCACGCATGGAATGCCGAGAAAAATACGCTGTATGCCTCACACAGTGTTTGAAGGTCCGTCGATATCGCCGTCGGTGAGTAGCACCCCGACGAAAGTAATGGGGCGTTCTGCTCGAACTCTTCAAGAAGCTCGCGAGCTTTGGAAATCAGGTCTTGTTCCTGTTCACCATTGCTGCTAAGCACTTCGGCGGGATGCGTCACGATCAGATAGCTGCTGAGAAAGGTGCGGACAGCACCTCTTCCTCCCACTGTCCCACTTTCCATATCTTGCAGTCCGCAAAGTCGAAGAACACGGGCCGTTGCGGACAACACGGTTTCATCTGAGAGCATGGCCCCCACATCTTCAAAGTCCATGCTACGGATGCGGTCAACCGTGAGGTTGAGACTCCGGAACTCCTGCATGACCAGCTTCGCGTGATGTGCCCGCCAGACGCGTTGAATAGTCCTTGCGGCTGCGTCCCGAGTCAAAGACTTGGTGACCACTCGAGCCATCTTCTTCTCCTCTGTCGCTGGAAGGCTACTAGTGCGGTGACGCCGTTGAGTTTGCTGGTAAAGCAATCGCCTTTTCTCTGCTTCCGCGAACTTTTCCGCCATTTCCAGCCGGAGGCGGGCGTGCTCTGCAGCTAATCTTTCTCGGTTGTCTTCAGCCTTTTTCTTCGCCCGGCGAACCTCCTCTTCGCACTTGGCGGTGATCTCTGCAAGTAGACGCTCGCGTGACTGCTGAGCAGCAAGTGCTCGCTCCTCTCTCTGAAGGTTTTTGGTAGCAGCGGCAAGTGCAGCGCGAAGCCTCACCTTTTCCGCATGCAACGCACGGTCTGCAAGCCTCGCCTTTCGGTTCTCCAAAATCGAGGTTCGCCGATGATGTTGCGCAACGTGGTCTGCGGGGGACGAGCCATTGGAAGAGGCGTTAGAATGGTGCGAATGTAGGGATGAGATCGAGCTCCGACGAGATGATGTCGCAGAGGAGCGCCGAGCCAAGCTCGACTTTCGCGAGAATCGGGCAGCGATCCGAGCTGGTAAGTTCAGCGGGGGCTTCTGCTCATCTGGAAGCATTTCCACGTCTGGTTCAGTCACGGACTCCGGCGCAACGGTGGGCCCAGCATCAGGAAGCTGTATTTCGATGTCTGAATTACGACGAATCATGATCTACGTCGCCGATGACGTATATTGCTGCATTCAACGAGACGGAGGCAGAGGGGTTCTTGGTGGAAATGGCGGGGCGTAGAAAGGATTGATCAAGCGCTTTCTATTTTCATCTATCACTCTGCAGTGCAGATTTATTGTGATACCATCTCCAGTCATTCACTAACCCTGGGGAAGAGAACAGGAAAGGAGGAGAAGTGAGTTGAAGGAACCAAGTCTTTCAAATCGAAGACTGGGACATGGCCAGGGTGCGGGAAGATCCGTGCTGCGTTTCAGAATAGAATGTCGGAGAGACAGAGAGGAGAGGAGGGAAAAGAACGGCGGTAGGAAGGAACGGAGAACAGGATATAAAGTAAGTTGGAGCTATTATTTGATAAGTAACGGACCCCGGACAAGAATGAAGGAATGGTAGATAAAATATAAGAGAAGGGTAGGTAGGTATGTTTCTAAGAAGTAGGTACCATCTGCGATACTAGTACTCTATGCGTTCATTCTTGATTCATGTGATGGCATCATCGTCATCACTGATAATAATAGTAATCATTAGGATTATAACATAGGTCACAATGGAGAGATGACTTCAGCTGATCTCTGGAGGGGAAGTTTCTGATAAGCTGAAGCAAGGCTATCTAGAGCATCTACTCTGTACCTTAGCATTATCGCAGCATCCTAGAGAAGCAGGTCGAATGCAGCCAGTTGCTTACCTAAGCACAGTTCTCGCTGCAATCAGAAAGATTAGAGATTATTCTGACCGTGAGAGGACACTGACATGATCGGAAAGGAGAAGTAATGGACGCTAAGGAATTTGACCTTGCTGAATAATGTCGCAGTCGATTCCTTGTCCGGTACATTTTGCTATCATCCACAGATGCATATTGATTGTGTCGAGGTCATGTCGTCCAGGGAATTTCTACTTCAGGTAATCCGGTTGCAGCCTCATGAATATGCAGGCATGTGACCATCATTCTTATCGGCTCCAAAGCATCTCTTCACATTACTTTACTTCTCCTTCTCAAACAAAGTGCTCAAGAGTACATGAGGATCTTCATGTATCTCTTCAGATCACACCTCCACACCACTTCCTATTCGACCCGTAGTCCCACTCGCATCTGTCCTTTTCCGCCTCTGTTGGCTCGGAGATAATAAGGTATAAAGCACAAATCTCTCACGTCCTCGCTGGTTGGGACTGCATCGCCGGATTCAGCTACAATCTGCTGCCTCCAACGGGATGTATCCAACGTTCCTCGAGAGCCACCTTGGGCGATGATACCCACGTGATGATCGGGAGTCGATTGTACCTCCTCCTGTAAAGGTGCATTTATATCGAAGATGATTCTCTTCATTGATTATCAGCTGCGGCTTTCCTCTTCTCTTGGTGAACGTCGCTTCCTACCTTAAAATGATCATTTTCCCAAGGATTGTCCACATCCTCGACGCAGTACACTATCGGTCCGCGGGTGACGTAGGCTACAGGCTGCATCGTCAATGGATGCGGCCTTACCACTCGGGGGCGCATCGGGCAGCTGAGACGGAATTCTGCATGCTGCTGGATCCAGTCTGAGGATAAATACAGATACCCGTCACGAAGATCCGGCCGTGAAGGCTGCGGAATAACCTGGTTGACGAAAATTCGTTCAGATCCTCTACTTCTTCAATCTGCAAAATCATCAAAGTAGAAGAAAGGATCGCCCACTGACCTCCCATGTGCTTGCCCATCCAGGAATTCGCATCCGCAGCTCCAGGTTCACTGACGGGCCGTCAATCTTCACAGAAAAAGAGACATCCCCGTGCCATGGCCATTGTGTCTCCTGAGCAATCTCGATCCTGGAGTCGGCGACCTCAAAGCGCAATGTAGCCGAGGTATAAAGATGTACGTTGACGGTAGCCTTCTGTGTCTCGTTGTCAACCTTGTAGCTCCAAAGATAACCGCCCAGACAGCCAAGCGTTCGAGTAACGTTGGGCGGACAACAGGCACACTCGAACCATTCATAGCGCCGGGACACGTCTTTTTCTGATGAGGCGAGTTGATTCACATAGGTGAATCCCTTTCCATCCAAGCTCATTCCTGTTAGGACTGCGTTATAGAGACACAGCTCCAAAATGTCCGCATAGTGGCTGTAAAGTTCAATCTATATATGGGTCATTGTTTAGGTAACTAACCCATGAACAAAAGAGCAGTATGGACAAAGAAGAGCTACGATACCTGTAATAACCGTTCGGCCAGCATCATCACCCCAATTGCTGCGCAAGTTTCTGCATAACAGCCACCCTCATCCGTTCCGTGGGGCAAGAAATAATCAATGCCAAAACCCTCCCACTGTTTCATGGCACCAATGCCGCCCGTTACGTAGGATTTCTTCTCGATCATGTTCGACCAAAGTCGATGCAAAGTGGGCAAGAACTTGTTGGCAACGTCACTGCTTGGCTCGGAGATGCGGACCAGGTCCGCAACTGAGGTTAGGAGGTACATGGCACGAACAGCGTGTCCCTCAATTGTTTGCTGTCGGGTAATTGGGACATGGGCTTGTTGATACCTGGCCACCCTAAATTAGCGAGAGCTGGTCCGAAGCGAAACATAGGGACAGCAGAACACAAATGCCTGGATTGTCTCCAGGCGCAACAAAGGAGAAGACTTGCCAATAGCTTCTCGCGGCTGGATAAGCTTCGGGCACTTCGTGCTTGCGCTCGCCTCGTGCCTCGGCCTCAACATCATAGTAATGCCGCCGTTCTTTTCCGCCAGAGGAATTCCCACGCTCCTCAAGAAAGAAACGGGCGAGACGAAGGTGGTCAGGGTCTTTTGTTACTTTATACAGCCGTAGAAGGGCTAGTTCGATTTCTGGATGACCAGGATAGCCAGCCTTTTGTCCCTCCTGGTTCCCAAAGGTAGCTGCAAGGAGCGCAACATATTTCAGAATCGGCGACAACAATTCATCGTTTTTGTAAAGGGCGCGGTGGGCGAGCGCAGCTTCAACAAGGTGTCCAGCATTATATCTAACCCACAAGATTTAGATTCGAGCTTCTGGTCTGACGCATGAGGGAGAACAAAAACCTACAGTTCATGCATGTCACGCAGGTTGGTAAACCTCTTCCCAGGTTCAACTACCGTGTAGTGAATATTGAGGTACCCATCCGGCTGCTGAGCGTTCTGAATCATTTCCACAAGCTCCCTGACGGCCGCATCTATCTCTTCGTCTGGAAAATCCATCAGAAAATAGCAAGCACCTTCGATCCATTTGGCCACATCCGAATCCCAAAACTGGTGATTGGGCACCGGCCACACTGTGTATGGATCCGAGTAACTCGGATGCCACTTCAACTTGAAGGCGTCATATCGTCCAGTCTCCTTCAGCATCTGCAGCTGGTGCCGCAGTGTTTGGGATCGAACAACTTGTCGGCGACGGGCCCAAAAGGAGTCTGGAGCGAAAGTTGTGGCTTTGAAGCTTTCTTGCGGGTATTCCATATCGAACGTAGAATTCGGTATTTTTGTGAAGCGGACACCGAATATTCAAGGCCATATGACCTTTTTGCCGTTATGAGGGAGCTAGGCTTCCCTTATATTGTTGCGACATTCAGATACGGAGTCGTGAGCAGACCCCTCCCCCTCATTCCTACAGTGGACAAGCTTTTTTTGGCTGACATTCTTGTTCTTTGATCACCGACGGCACAGAACACTCCACCTCCATTGCCGGGTTGCCTTAAGTAGATCCTGTTGACTTTCGTGCCGAAGCTAAGAAGCTGGAGAAGCTGGAGGGTTCAATGCGCACCAAGCCTCCGGTGGAGATTCTGTCTCCGGTGGGGGCCTGATCGTACTACCTTACGCCATGTCGATCACAGCAAAAGCAACTCCTATCTACTCCAGACCGAGAGCTTCATTCGAGTGTTACATATGAGTGCGCTGATGCTCTAGAGCTACTCACGATGTTAATGCCAACTAATATTTTTAATGAAAGTGTCATTAACGGCGCTGATCGCCTGACAATAGTAGCCCATTCGTCAAATTCAAAGAACAACCTGATATGCACAAGCGAGTGCTTCCCTCAGTTTGAAGTTCAAGGAGATAATATCTCAGATGCCAGTCACCACAAAGCTGAAGCAAGTGCGCAAGGATTGTGTCGTCTCCAATGAGAATGGCTATGAAGGGCTTTGTCCCTGTGCCCTTGATGCTTGCTTGAACCTTGGCAGGAGGTTCCTCCTTGACCCCAACATCACTAAGCTGAAGACTCGGCGTCTCTCCGATTCTGATGATCTGTAAAGTAGCATCATGTGGAGACCTTCTGACTGATTGATTGGCAATGACTTCTTCCAAATCTGCAAATGAGGGAGCCCGATACTGCCGAGAGAAGTGAAGCGGAGCTTCGCGAAGTACAAACTGTCAGATGGCCACTCTCTGCAGGGAGAATCAAGGGAATGTCAACGGAAGACTGACTTGACAGCCTGGCACTCAGCATCAAGCCTTTTCCCATACCACTTTCAGAACGGGGTTCACGCAGAAGTTCCTTCGTTAGGAAGACCCGGTAAGAGGGCATGTTTTCTCCTTGAATGCAGACGTACACTGTTCATTGCTCTGACTTACCCAGCTGAGCGGCGTTGCTATTGTACGGCATGGTCTTTTGTACTTGCTTCAATGGCTGCGATGCGGGCATTATGACTGTCATTCTAGCCGACGAGCAGTTTATTGATTACTACAATATCGATGACAGCAAGTCCGGACTGATGGCCACCATACCTTGGGCAATGACTGGTAAGGAGGTTGGTGTCAGTCTCTCTCCTTGGCACTCAACTGACGGACTCTGCCCAAGCTTTGCGCAGTTGTTCCTGGGAGGTACTTTGGCTGGCTGGTTGGGGCGCCTCTGCTGCGCATTTCCATCTGCATCATGATAGTCGGCGTGTATAACCAAAAAAGCACCATGTCTCGTTCTTTAGAATTATACGACCCCGAGATCTAATGAGTAATGAAGAACTGTGCAAGTGATTTCAATACGTATGGATCCTTGCTCCTTGGTAGACTTCTCACGAGCGTTGACTCTGGACCCTTTCTCGCAGACGTCTTCCCTCTGCTGCAAAAACACCCATTACCTGTCAGAGATTGAGACTGACCATTCTGGCAGCAGGCTTGGGTTCGGTTGTGACTATAACGCTACCAATCTCTACGTCGCCGAGTGAGGGCCTCTCATTGCATTCTGGGTTGGCTACGGAATGTCCTTTCATAAGTCGCCCTACAATATCGCATGGAGAGTATCCAGCGCCAATCAGATTCCCATCGGGTTACGCTTTGTCGCAATTTCGTTCTTCTATCACGAAAACCCTCGCTTTCTACTGGAGAAGTATCCAGGTGCACCTGAGCGAGCACTGCAGACGCTCAGCCCTCTGAGATCTGGAGCACCCAAAAATGAAGCTATTCGACCGGAGTTTCATGAGCTGGTAACTTCGCAAGAGTTTCGCCGTCGCTGTGATCCAGGATGCGTTGGTCTCTTCAGGGACAAGAAGACGCGATTTCTATGCCGCGAGCCTTCAGCAGGCGAGCAGCTTATGAAATTTGCTCGTTGGGCTACAGGAAGACCGACTGACACACTGTACAGTGCGGAGGTATTGCTTCGCTCACCAGTACGCTACCTTAATATACCAGAGTTTGGGCTGGGACTCGGGCTCCCGAGCATTGGCAATCAACGGCATCCAGGCTGTTCTCCAGTTACTTGTTGCTTTGGTGAGCAACCTTCAAACTCGACAAGTAGGGTCTACGAACCCGTTTGCTGGCCAGCTTCATGAACCAGACTGTTGCGCTCTTGATCATATCTAGCCTGACAAGCATATTGCTGGTCGAACGGCCCGTTGCCTCCGGCTGTGTTATCAGAGATATCTTTCTTAACATATAAGGTATGCTGCATAGCCGTTTCGCAGGCTTCATGTTGAAGAAACAGAAGCAGAGGTTTGGACAACCGCTAGAATCCAGAATATTAGGGCTTCGGTCTCTCTATGCTAGGGCAAACCTGCTGGCTCATTCTTTTGACCGAACCGTGGCCCAGATTCAAGACCACGGTAGGCGGCCGAAGTTATTGGCTGTTCTGTGATCTCAATGTCGCTGCTGGGGGAAGTGAAGCATGCCCTCGTCTGCTGCTTGCCATTTCTCTCCGTATAAGCGACTGATCAGCCGATCTCGTCACCTGGCCGTGCTATCTGTCTACTTTATACACCCGGTGACGAAGAATATCTCTCTTGAACGAATGGAGAAGCTATTCGGCAACACTGGATTCTTTGGGGCCGAGGAACAAGAAGATAGCACCGCAGAGACAAAGAACAGAGTCATCTCTTTTCATATTGAGATGGATGACCTTCCCAACCGGTGATATACTACTGATGTGAAGGAAGTATCGTTTGAACATGCTCCAGAGAAGTTACCAGGCTAGACTTCTTCGGCAACTGACCAGCAATCGCTCATATTGCTTTTCTAATATCGCACACTTCACCAGCAGGGTGGATGCCTCCAAAACTCCTTTTGCGCCGTGCACCGTGTATGCTAGTGATGTCCAAAACTCCTCGAAAACAGAATCAAAATTTGTGTGATCACAGAAGAGGCAGATCGGACATTTCATCTCGTGCTGCACCATTGTACTCCCGACACTCATGTGTTGTTTCAGTGTCAAACCTGGTAATTCCATTTAATAGGCTTCTAAACGCCGAATAATCCATATTGGTCATCTCAGATGAAGGCAGTCGGGCCTGCCAGCTTCTTCCCTCACAGCTCCCTTGTAAATTATCAATAGTGTCGATGCCGCTAAACAGATTGATATGTAAGCTGTCCGCAAACTGTCAATGGTGTCTTTGGCAGCCTCCGGAACGCTCAACGTATCCAAGGAGGGAACCAGGCCTTTCGAGAAATCATCGGTGTCCAAAAATATCAATGCCTTCATCTTCATCATCGTCTTCTTCTGGGTCCCCACGATCGACTTCGTCGTTTCCCACCGAATCGCCATCTGCTGAGTCGTCACCGTCGTCTCCTTCCTCCTCAACCTCCGAGGTCCCGTCAGCTGATTCTGTTTCTCGGTCGAGGAAGCCGTATTTGTATTTAATCTTTGTTCCCCACAAACGAAGCTTACCACCAGTATGGTCATTACTATCTTTTCCAGCAAGATCCCCAAAAAAAGGTAGAGTTGACCTCGATCTGTTGGAATCACGGTCCGGAGGCAATCCGAAATAATTACTGATGACTGGTGAGACAGCACGACCCCGAGTTAGGCTATACGAGGAGAAACGTCCATTCTGCTCAGCAGACGATGATGCGGCAAGTCGTGGACTCAACCCTGCTCCAGAGGGGGAGCTCGTATCAACCCGCAACTGGGCGGGAGGCAATGGTATGGTAGCTTCTTCTTCCGCACCGTGCAATGAGGATCGTGTCGGAGAAGCTGATATATCCCTGTTGTCTCCGCCGACTCGGTCAAGAGAATCCAGGACTTCACCGTGGAGCAGGCGGATCTGAGCAGTATTGTATGATTCGCACCTGATCCTCGGTTAGATTGTCGATGACAATAGAGAGCGTGTTAAGCGCTTACATATCACATTTCAAACCTAACCAGTGATATCGAACAACTGACTTCGCACCACAATCATTGCAGTGAATCAGTGCGCTAGTATCTTTGAATTCTGCGGGCATGGGCTGACTCTGAATGGTGCGATCCAGGTTTCGGAACGTCGATTCCATGTTGGCAATGGTTTTGCTGCATATGGGGCATCGGTAAGAACTCTTAGAGTACTCAGAAAGACATTTTTGGTGAATACTATGCCCACAGCGCATGAAGACGACAGTTTCAGGAGACGTAAACATATAATCTCCACAGATTGGACAGTCACATTGAGTGGAGCGCTCGATGCATCGATGGGTGTTTTCGATCGAGATAGGCAAACACACACTACAAGTCTGCTTACAGGTCAGCACTTAACGAAAAATATGACACCATATCAAACTGCTCTTCTCTATCCAAAGCTTTCTTACCCTGCAGTGAAAGAAATCCTTTCCGAGACCCTGGCCGATACGGCAAATACCACAATCATTGCAATGGTAAATACTTTTGTTTGAATCATTATCCCAAAGCTTGCAGATATTGCAATAGTACTGTGCAGCATGTTCACCGCATTGCCGACAGACTGCTGCGGCAGGCTGGGCGTGTCCACAGAGCATGCACAGCATGTTCTCCGTCTTCGGTCGATCGAGGTGATGATCCTCTACCTCATCGTGGCAGAAACGACAAGTATACCATTTCTTGCATTCAAAGCATTGTAGTTTGACGTTCCTTTTATAATGTCGGCAGCCCAAGCAGGCCTCCTCGACGTCCTCGGCATCCGTATCCTCAAAATCGCACACGGGCGAGTTCGATTCGGGCTTAGGAAAGAACGTGGGTCTCAGGTCTTCGGCGGTTAATCTGTACGTGTCCTCGATTTGATGGCTGGTCGAAGCTGTTGAAGGTGGATCGATGGGCGCATGGTCGGAGGACCGGCTGCCGCAGCGGGAAATCGGAGTAACAGATCGCTCGGATAATTGGGGGCTAGATGGCGACAGTGTCCTCGGTGAGGTCGATATCAAGTTATTTTTTCCCTGAGAAGCATTATACCTCTCAGTCATCAATTCGTGAATCATACGTGCTTTCTCCTCATTGCTGGATTGGAGGTCCCGAATAGCGTGGATCTTCTTTCTCAAAACGCCCATTCCGTCGTCCTCCGGAAGCAAAAACTGGTCACCAGTGTCATCAAGATTGCCATGGCGGGCTGACAAATGATTTGACTCTTGTGCACCTGGATTTGGCTCGAAAACCATATTTTGAGGGAAGACAGGCGTAGAGTCAGCTCCTGTTACTTCAGGTGCAGCGTACGGTCGTACGCCATCAACATGTTCCGAATCACTCAGGCCGTGCAGGTTCTGTGATGATACAACAGGTGTTCCAGAATGAGACTGGCTTGGTGATATAGCGCCGCCGCGGTCATGGCGCCGACTGCTCAGTTCAGACGGCGCCGGTGAGGCAGGTACGAAATGAGTACCTTCAGCTTCCGAGTAATCTCCATTCAATCCTATTGTCGAAGTCTCATGATCATCCTTCCTACTTGATATTTTAGCGCGGTCATCGTCGTTGTAAGTTGCTGAAGAGCTGCTGCTCCGTGTGATCGGTAGCGAATCGGCTAGGTCGTCATCGTAAGGCGGATGAGAGTTTGTCTGATTTGAGAGACGACGGGCTTGCCGAACGACGGGTTCGATCAGCAAAGAAGAAATGAGCCCACTCATGAAGGGCCTGGAACAACATCTGACGTTGGAAGCAATCGTTTGAAATTCCGATCCAAGCTGTGGTTGAAACCGTTATTAACCTGATTTCTGAGAAGCCACCGGAACAGGCATGAAAGACATGTGACGTGCCCCTGCGCAGGCCGGCCGCTGATTCGTTGCCTGAGTCCGAGCCCAGAAGGTATGACTGCCTCCAGTCTCTCCAAATCGTGCAGGTAAATACTAAGGTAGTAGTAGGTCCGAACCGACCTCAGGCGATAATGAACAAAGAATATTTACTCGAAGATTCGGATAAATACATTGTGCAAATTATCACTACGTGTGAAAGTCTCAGGCGGAATAATAATGATATTTCCTCTATGAGAGAAGTATAGGGTTGGCAGATCTTACATCAGTACCAAGCATACCCGAGTAATGTACATTGAAGCGAGCCCTGTTCGTGAACGCCAACCTCTACTTCCTTGCCTTTCTCAGTTAAATCATTCTCCTTCGGGTGATGCTTTTAGATCATTGAGACGTGGTATTATCGTCGAATAAACATACTTTGACGTTCAAGGCCGATCCAGGGTACGGGCAACGGATCTTCCACACCAGGTGGTTACTTTCAGCAAGAACCGCGATCTGAACATATTCAGAGAGAAGTCCAGAGTATTGGCGGGAGCCAACGCACTCGAAACTGGCCATCTCCCATAAACAATCTTCTTGGATGTATCACCTGAGACAGGTCCCCAAGCTTTCATTAAGTAGCATTAGTGTTCGATTGAAATGCTCGTTGGCATCTTTTCGTATGGTGAATTCAGTTCCGCCATTGCCTAGTCCTCTTAACCTGTATATGAAGCACAAAGTCAGCTTTTCCGGTGACCCTGCGATTGCCCGGAGGGGACCTACAATTTCACGTCTTTTCTCACCTGCGGTTGCTCCCAATACCGAACCATCAGAAGATTCTTCACAATTTTGTGTTCCAATCCGGCGACATCGGATGCGCGTTGGAGGAAACGCAATGTATTGGCTACCTTCTTTGGATCGAAGTCACGAGCGGGTGAAGAGCGAAAGGCTGATCGCAATGTCCGAAGTAGAACATGCCGAGATGGAGCAGAATAATTAATCAACTTGAGGCCTTGTCGGTAGAGATGCCGATAAGCATGGATGACTGCTCTCTGGTCCATCACAGGCTTGAGATTCTTAACTTCACGGCTCACCGCATGAATTGTATGAGGCGCTTAAGGGATTGAAAAAGCGCTGAAATCGAAGAGGTTGTATCTGAATGCAACCCCTTAGAGCTCATTGGTACCCAATTCTCAGGGTGAACATCCCCTCATAAGCGAAGTAACTCAACTCAGCCTATGGACTTTTTGTTCCCAGAAAGTTCACTTGCAGTATGATGGAGTTGGGCCAGGCAGTGAGGGCGCTAACTTGATTTGGCGCCTGCCGCGTGTTAGGCCGCAAATGTGCACTTTTGACGCCTCCCACCTTTTCTATATCTTACCACTCTACCCAACTACTACCACAGCTACGTATACTTGTGTCAAACTCACCGTTTTGAGAACAGAACTTGATTTTCAAATCATTTACTTTCCCCTATTTCCTGGCTTTGGTGTATTCAGAGGCCAAAGAGGAAGAAACTTGACCATCTATCTCATCTCTGAGCTGCGATTCGCGGTTCAAGCTCACGCATTTGCGTAGAAATGATTGACTAACAGATTCGGCTTCAGCATAATCACTCGTTTCTCTCTTCTTCTTTGTTTCATTCTATTTGCCTTTTTCCTCGATGATCCGTCTAGTGGGTTTTTGTCTATTCGATCGTCCATTCACCTTTTGATTAAAAAGATGCTCTTAGTATCGAAAGCTGTCCGTCTGCTGTAGTGTTTGAAAAAGAGCCGACGTTCAGTCGCAATATGGTCCGAGTATTTCGGAGACCTGCCTCGGCTTTAGCCAGGCGTGTTCCAAGTAGGGCCACCAAGCGGACTCTCCGAAAGCACAAGGTGATCCTTGAATCTATCACACAGGAGAAAAAGAAGCTTCGGAGTGTTGTATGCTTCCCTTCCCTTTTTAGTGCCTTGAGGAACGATCTTGACGGCAAAGACAGATATCGTTTGAAGCCAAAGCACCACCCGGCTACACTTTCATTCCCGCAGGCAATCCCCAGCTCACAGGTGCGTGTAAGGAATTATGCCGGAAAGACGGTCTGAAAGTCTACGCTGTCACGGTATGCTTATTAGCAACCTCCCTGTATCACCTGTCATCTCCTCAGCCCTTTTCTTTCTCTCTGCTCTCGCCCGGTTCTCATAATTAATAACTAGACAACTCCTCATATGCACACCCACAACCTTTCTCAACATGTGCACCGCATTGGGTATCATTTTCCAAGCGCTGTTGTCGCAACAGTGTGTATGGACCTGGGTTTACATCTTACAGCAACTGGAAACGTAATGCCTGTTCACAGCACAGCTGCTGCTAGTGAAAGCAGACATGCTAACTCTGAGGTTTCACAAATAACAATCAACACTGAGGCTAGGGACGTGCTGAGAGACCTCTTTCCAAATATACCAGACAACGATCTGAATCAGATCATCAAGACGGCGTTCCAGAAGGTATGTAGATCAAATCGGGCGCGAAAGCAGCGGCTGGTCTATTGTTTGCTGAATTCGAGTCAAGGGCCAACGCAAAGTCGGTACGGCTGTTGAATTACCTCTAGCACGTCGGGCACAATTAGCCGTCGTTGCACATATAAGGCATATCTACACTGATTATGATCGTCTTCTGAAGACAACATCGTTTCACGAAGCCCGAAGCGCGGTCGAAGAGCCCACTCTAGCAAAGTTAGTGGAATGGCGAGGTGACGATGAAAACGGAAAGACAGTTCTTGAGGATGTTTTTCGCGAGGTCATTGTGATATCTGATGATGACGACAGTGATGTCGAGGAAGGAGAGGTCTCTCGTTCGGTCAATCGAGATCACAGCGTAGAAATCATCTCTAGCCACCCACGAGCAGAGGAACTGCAGACGAGGCCGGTCAACTTCGCCCACCCAACCGTGCGGGAATCGCATTTGGACATCTCAGATGATGAACCTCCGCCTGGTTTCCGTTTCATTCCTGAATCGCCGAAAAGGCAGCGGGTCGATCGTCGTGGCTTCAGCAGATATCATGCTTGGGACCGTGCCCTCAACCGATACAGAAATGGGACTTACCAACATAGGTTTTACACAGACTCCACTGGCCAGCGAGGGCCTTTGTTGACCGCACGACAGCCCGTGCAGGAAAGTATCACATTAGACCCAGGACCTGCCTCTCATCGAACCATAAGAACACTCCGCCACGTCTCTGTTGGCCCACACATTGCATCCAGGGAAAATATCCTTGACCATGAACGAAAAAGAACTCTGATGCCGCCGTTGATGGAGAATCGTGTAAGTTTGCAGGAAACAGAGGCCGAGCGGTCGGGCCTCGAGGACGCACAGAACACCCATCCAAGGCCTCGACTGATACCTCATGAGCCATCCAATCCGGAAACACCTGTGCATTTACAAAATCAGAGAAGTGACGCTACTCGCTTGGCGAATCGAGCTTTGGTGGAACAAGTTTCAGCTGATCAACAGAGAGCGCGTTTGGACCAACGGCTTAATTCCCCAAATACCCCTGTCTTCGTCGGTGGTCCCACGGAGATCCAAGGACGGAGCAGAGTACCATCCGGCGCTATGTCAAGAATCCCGGGCCTTCCATATCTTGGAATGCAGCCGAGTCCACAGGATCACGTATTACCCTCTATTGAGACCCCGCCTTCGCCCCAGCAAATAAGGCGTCCGCCAAGTGCCCACCTAGATCAACTTACCAGGAGGATATCGGGAGGATTCACTATTCGTTCAGTAACACCTCGCCGCCCCGCTCCGCAAGACTCATTGCCTCAAGGAGAATCGGATGTTACTTGGATTCCAGCGTCGAAAAGGAGACGTGTGGCCAACCAAGACCCTGCTACTTACATTGAGCCTCGCTCCGATGTCGTGCCCATGCTTCCTATGGATACTCATGCGAAACAGCAGTACGTTTATCTGGGAAATGCCCCACCAAGATCATTTGTTTCCCAGAGTGGGCCTCCAATCCGTAGGAGATACATGGTTCCAGTCAAATCCTCTTACCTTGCAGAGCGCTATCCAGAGGGATCTCAAGATCCTTCTGACTATGCCACACAACCAGTTCCAGAAGTCGTGGTTGGCCAAAGGCAATATTCTAACTTTCAAGGCAGATCAACAGCCTGGGAGCATCAGCCGAAGCACCAGCTGGAGCATTACCCGGAGCTATATTCTCTCCACAGATCTTCTGAGCAAATTCACGGTTCATCGGGTGCCGGCTTTACTACTGCCCCTACAAATGAGAGCTCTAATGGTGTCTCAAAGCTGTCTGACCCGGCTTCAGAAGCTGGACGTGTTTATGAAGATCGCCGAATCCATCAAGGACAAGCTAGAGAAGCGACTTATATGCCAGATTCGCAGGCTTTTGGACATCGTCATCGCACCTTTGATTCTTATGGGGCCTCCAGAAGAAGCATCTATGCCGATGACTTCGTACGTCCTATTGGTTATAGTGAGGATGTACGATCGGTTAACCAACGCCAGCGCGGTCATGTGCAAACAACTGGTCCCGTGGATTCTCTTCCTGGAGCAACTAATGAACAACTTCGACACCACTCAAGCAGGGAAGTAATTAATCTGCCATATAGTACGCTTGTCAATCCACGTACAGCTCCAAATCATCGAGGCACGGGAACCAGTCGCCGCGCTCATGAACAAGTCCTCGTGAATGATTGGGGCCCTAGCTACTACAGTCGACGTGAAACGTATGGTTCTTCTCTTGCGCTCGATCGCGATGACAGGGGTGGCGAAGCACAATTGCACCAGTTAGGGTATGATCTCGACCAGAATCTTTTCGCGGTGGAAATGCCTGTCTACATTTCACACATCTTCCCTCTTAACATTTTCTTCGCCCCAAAAACACGATGAGCTGATATATCTATAGATCAAGTCAGGAAGCTCGTTTTAACCTACCACAACCGAGAGAGGCACAACGACATTCCACGTATGTGAGGAGGTCGGGCGACTCTAGGCTCCATTATCCTGTTTCAGAAGGACGAAAATTCGTTATCGTGGATTAGACAGTTGCGGGGTTGCCTAGCCGCTACTGAGTTTTTCTTTAGCCTGAGGATGTTTCTTTGTCTGTTCTATCATGGATGGTTTCATGCACTCTAATTATGCGGCGTTGATGCGAATGATACCCGGTTGTGTGTCCTTTATGACTATGTACGAGTTCATCAATGCTAGCCCAGCGGCGCCGTTGTAATAATCCAATTATGGTACGCTCTTGGTTCTGCTAAAATGTTCGCAAATCAAGTCTATAGAGAAACCATTCAAGTAACAGATCGGGCTGATGTTTGAAAGACGATCGCAGGTAACAATTATGATCCAAGCACAAACCAAGCTAGAGTGACGAACACGCTATGCAATCGCTGTGGTATTTTGAAACCTGGTGAAAAGGGAAAAAAGGCGGACCGTATGAGGCCCAGCTGCGCCATATGATCAAGTCATTATTGGCCTTGACGAGCATCAAAATCCCAGCTCTTATGACCTGTACCAGCTTCGACCACGGCCTTATTTGTCCAATGGAATGAACCAGAGACGAGCGCTGCGCCGAAATCAAACATCCATGGGTTTTCCATCAGCCTCTCCAGAGTTGACCGTCTTCCCTGTCTTCTTGATCGTTGCCAATACAGTCTCGTAGGAAAGGGTGGGGTCTGTCGTGACAAGGGCGGTCTGCGAGTCCAGGCTCACATCGAAAGACTTGACGCCTACGAAGTAACATACAAGGGTGGATCAGTTGGCCGCTGAGCAAGAGAAAGAGGAGGGTTTTATTGGAGTCGGGGGAGAGCAACCCGTATGATTTGGGCCGCTCTTAAGAGTGCGGATTCTACACTCACCATCCAGCTTCTTCAGCACGCGCTCTACAGCGCCTGAGCAGCCACCACAGCTCATGGAGACATTGAATTTGTATTGATGTTCAGACATGGTGTATGAAGGAATCAAGGTTCTGGATGGATGGAGTTGATGGACAAATAACCGAGGGCCGAAATAATATGTGTGCTCTCAACGATTGAGTGATATGAATATGAAATTATTACTTGAGGATTGATACCGAAGCTGATAGCAGGATACTCATATAAACCAAGATAAATTGTAGAGAGGTAGCTAGAGGGGAAATGTGGGGCTGGACAGCACCTGCACACCACTGCTGATCAAACGTTCGAAGAAATGGATTTGCAAGTACGCAACAGTAGTGAAATACGCAACGGTAGTGAAAGGAAGAGTATCAATTAATCTTGATCGCACATATGGGACAAGTCTGGGATGATGAGGAGATTCTAGCAGACATTGTCCCCTGAAGCAGAGACATGAAGACTCTGTATTTATAAGCATTCCGACCCGATCGCTCAGTATCCATTAAGGGAATCACGCAAAAATCACTCGTCCTACTGCGAAGGGAAGTCAGTAAAAGTAAAAGACACCCCTGAAGATTGGTGACTTCTACTATTCAGCTGTTGGTTCTCTAATGTGACCTGAGGAGTGGTCGCTCGCCCCCATTGCAACGTTGGTAAACAAAGAGTGTTGATTCATCGCCATGGGAAATTACTTGGTCGCTCTTGATCCTGACCGGGCCCTGCAAATATTCTACTTTCAGAACTTTCTAGACTCGACTTATCCTTCAAAAGCCAGCTGCTCTTTTCTTTTTCCTTGTCTTGAAGAAGGCTTTCCGACTGGCTTCTCGACCCCCAAACATACCTCTTTCTACCTGGGTCATTGGTAGATCCTCCTCGATAGCTTGACCACTTTGTAACCTTAACATTCTGGACGGCTCGCCGACCTCTGGCTGGCTACCCCATTCTCGAGTGGTAAGGACATTGGAAGACACGGGAGGCAGCTGTGATGAATTCAACGGGGTGCTCTGAGACGCCTTTTTCCGCAGGCGCCGTTTCGGTGTTGTGGCTTTAGAGGCACGTTGCAAATCCTCTTCCTCCAACATCTGCGCCATCCTTTGCCAACTATACAAGGCCGGGTCGCTACCTACTTGCCAATGAGAAAGCAAGGTTGCCACAGCTCCAGATCGTGGACGCTGGATGTGGAAGGTTGTCGTAGAAGCTAGTCCACAGTAGACAGGTTCCGCTCCGTTTGTACCGTTGGATACTTCTTGCTCTTCTGCCAACAAGTTGTTCTGGATAGTATTTTTGCTGACTGCTGGCTCCGATGCATGATCACTAGAAATCACTCTCGGTAAGGATAAGCGTCGTTTACCAACCTCGAGAGATGATGAAGGAAGATTGACTGGCAAGGGCGACGAATCATCATTTGTTTCATGATTAACGTCTTCAGTCGAAAGCGAGATACCCGCTTCATTGAGCGGCTTCCGCTGTAAAATGGGCTGCGTCAGAGCAAGCTCTGCTGCCACTTTGCGAATGACCCTTTCCTTCATAATCCGCGTGCGCCCGGGTATGTCGTGCTGAAGGGTTGAAAGCCAGTCATTAACCAACCGATCGTAAATGTCGACCAGTTTCACCTTGGACGAGGATCCGAATAAGTCCAACGACTGCTGGGAAAAGACTGCGGGTTGACTGCCTGCCAGGGGATTGCGCGACATGCTTGGAGCCAGAAATTCATCAAGAAATTCATCATAGTCATGAGCATTCTGATCGATATCGTCTAGCAGAGGGCTTCCGGTAAGGACTTCTAGCCTGTTGAGGTGTCAGTAATAGAATCATGTGGTATACATCCAGCGTTGACAGAGCCTACATGGTCTTACTGTTAGGAAGATGAGTCAAGTCTGTGGAGGCTATTCTGTCCTTCAGTTCCTTGATAGACTCTTGAAAGCCTTTGTCTTGTTCTTGGCCGATTTCACTTGACCCCGCAAATATCTTCCCGAACGCAATGGCGTAGATCGAGCTATAATCAGTTGTCCATTGTGGACTGGCCAGTGGCGTTATGTGAGAAATTCCAGTATCTGCGACCGTGAACGTTTCCCTGCTCACGACAGACTCATCCCAATCGTCGACCACGAAGTCATCCCGCGAGCGAGTAGATTGCTTTCTCCGAACTCCGGGATAGCGCTTCCTTAAACGTAAGGCATCCTTTCCCAACTGCTGATCATCTGCATTAACCTCAGTCTCACGTGCAGGACCAATGTATATCGACTCCCGGACCGCAAGGCGGGAGTCGATTGTGAACAGTTTTATGATTTTGGCAGTAGCGTCATATTGCTCCTTGCTCCCAGCAGATGGTGCATGTGCAATTTCTCGGAAAACCAGAGTTGAGAACTGAGCTGCATTTGGTGAATCCTGAGTTTCTGCGCTCTCTTCAGAAATGGAAGGGATCTCTAGAACGAATGGGTCCGATATAGAGGTCCGACCCATGTATCCATCCGATGCAATTGGAACTCGATAAGCCAATGCCACGTGATTGAGCCGAGAGTACAAGACAAGATACAATTCTTCAAAGCATATTGTTAGCGTATCATTGTGAAAGACAAGAGTTAAGGCATACCTTCAGAAACGACAAGAGAAGACAAACGCAATGTCGTATCCTCCGAATCTCGGAAATGACGCCAAGATAGAAGGGGTAACAGAGACGGCCTTGAAGCAACCTTTTGAGAGTCTCCGACAAGAACGGAGGAAACATCAATCCAAAACATTCGCGATGTTGTCAGAATGAACACTTGTGACACATTGCAAGCACTTCTCTTGACATCCAGAATCCATTCTGATTTCCTCTTCAGCTCAAGCTCTATCGCAAAAGGTAGAATATCATTCCCCTCTATCCGATAAAGTATGGGACAACGTCGATCGGACACAATGAAGCTGTTGACATCGCCCACCCATTCAATTACTGCCCATCCATCATGTCGTGGAGAGCCATTGATATCCTGAGCGTGGCCAGGGTCAAGCCACGGTAATGAGCCGGACTTTACGCACGCCGCAGTCCAATTGCCCTTACCTCGTCTATGTCGACCTACCATTTCCCAGACGCTCCAATTTCCTCTCTCATCGACAATCGCCAATTGTTTCTGATACCAGGGATTGAAAGTGACATCGGCATGCGCATAACCTCCCGTCTGGGAGTTTGAAATCTCAATCAATGGGTTCGCGTCAAGGCGCGAGGATTGTGTATGGCTCGGAACCACACGGTCACCATCCTGGTATATATGCACAGGAACAGGCTTCCTACGATACAGAGGTCTGAACACAATCGTTGATTGAGGAAAGCGAGCGGCGGCCCATGTCGGCTTCTCTTCCACCGTCCGCGCAAAACATATTTGACGGACGGGGGCACCTCCTGCGGACCATTCGGTCCACTCAGTTTCTCCGATCATCGGGATCCGTATTCGAGCTTTCATTCCGTGCTTCAGTTCAGCAGTACCTTCTTCTATCTTCCGGAATGAAATGACATTGCAACATTCTCCGCCGACAGTGATGGCGATCGGGACTACCCGGTTGCCTGACTCATGGTTCTCAATATCCACTGCATTCCCCAAGTCGAACAGAGAGGATACCAAAGGATCGCATAATTCACCTGCCGTCGTGATAACGTGGGAGACCGTCTCATTATCGACTAAGGGCCAACAAGCGGCTAATTCAGGGTGCACTCTAGGTAACAAGCTCTTATTCTCTATGAGTGATGACTGTGGCGCCGTCAATGGTGAGACAATGGTAGTCTTCGTAACTCCTGTATAAACAAGGAGAGGTGCTTGCGATTGAGTTAGTACATTGCAAGCATAAGATATTCTTCACAATCTTTGTCTTTGCTTCAAAGGCAGTTGATATTTGTTTCACTTACACCAGGCAAGCGTTCGAGAAAATGTCCAAGCACGTGTTTCCGGCTGATAAATCGCCCTTCCTAAGTGCCCATAATGTAGAGCACTGCTAGAATATTCATCCATTAGGCGTTTTTGTGTTCTTAATGATATGCCCAATATCAAACGGGGTGAGCATGTCGAACTGTTAATGGCTGAGTTGATATCTGCTGCTCCAAAGAACTAAATTTTGCATTGATTCTGTTTAGAAATAGAACCAAGATGCTTCGTCACCATGTCAACATGGGCAATCTTTGAAGGTGGAGGTGAAGGCTGGCTTGCTGTTCAGATGGAGAAGAAGTTGGACAAGAGTTATTCAAGTTGTTGAGACAAAATCCAGCAATTGGACATTTTTACCAGTGAGCTGTAGATAGATGTTGGTTGTCGATCGTTTTGTGCCAAGCGCCGTTAGCTTCGGCAGTTGCGCCGCAACAACAAACACTAGTTAGCATCCCCCTCATGACTACAGTCAGTTGTCGATAACGCGACACGCATATATTTCTTGACTTATCACGCACATTACATATTTTGCTCTGGACTGCTGCGACGACTTGAGACGAATAAGGCGAATTTGAATTCTCAGAAACCTTGCTCATAATGTCGTCTTCGTTTGAACCTTCACTTTCGACGAGTGGTGTGCGACCGCCACTCGCAACAGCAGACGCACCATCGATGGCCGACACGCTACCTAGCATCAATTTTGGATTTGAAGACTTGCGTAACCGCATGGCTCAGTTCACCGCTCGCTTCGATGCTTTTATTGAGCGAGGTCGGAAACAGGTGCTGGAAGAGCGAAACCAATTCAGAATTGGGTTGGCAGAGTTACAAGGTGTGTACTAATCATCCACAAGATGTTCAACGAAAGCAATGTCGCTAACCCCAAATTAAGAGGACCAGCGCATGCGACAGAGAGATATTGAGATCATCAATCTCAAGGCCCAGACGCACGAACAGACCCTCCAGAAAGAAGCTGCTGAGGCTGCCGAGATGCACACTGCTATCTCTTCCGTCGCATTAGAACGCGACTCTCGTCTTGCGAAGCGTGACCGTCTGAAGCAACAAATTGAAGAGACGCAGAATGCCATCAACCAGAAATTAGAAGCCCAGAAGGCTCATGCCCGACATCTAGATGCACAGTCCCGATTGAACATTCCAGAATTAGAATTCTGGCAGGATTATCTATGTTTGCGAATTGAAGGTGCCGGACGAGAAGATCGGTTGAAGTTCATTTACAGTCACCTACTTGAGAAAGACTGGGACACGGAGGCGTGGTTCGAACTAGGAACAGCCAGTCGCGATTACGAAGTCTTCCATACGCGGCCCAAAGTGGATAGAGAAGCTCTGGAGCGGGAACTCGACCTCTTGAACGAGGACCGTGATTTTGGGGCTTTTCTGAAAAGGATGCGCAGGCTACTTGTCGAATCGCTCAAGTAGGATGATGCCCGCTATTGGCTAAGGAAGCGTGCCATGACTTCTTTTCTACGTTGACTGTTTTGTACGATACAGTTCGCTTGCTGAACCGCAGCGGGAAAGGAGAAATCCATACTCTCGTCTGGTCTTTCTTCGAAAGCACAATGTGGCGTCGACCCCATCCAGTGATCAGCCACCAGTTGCTTCGCGATAGAAAGCTATGCTTCGGCTTGCTCCAGCGGTGGCAAATCCTTCAGACTTCCCGGTCTTTGGCAGCCATTTAGCGCTCCAAACCGCCTTCTCGGTTTCGGAATGAGTTGCGACGCACAACCTCGTATCAATTGACCAGACCTTGACTTTTCCGTCAAATGAGCTTTGCATCTGTTAGCCGTAAATTCTAAAGGATATCACATTAGTCATATCAACCGACCTGCTCAACAGGTACTCCCCTGTATGGCTCCAAGAGAGTGAAAGAATCCAGGCTGAGTGACCCGAGAGATTTGCTACCTGCTCTCCGGATAAAGTGTCATAAAGCACAATTACCCTTGAATCTCCAGCGGCAGCAAGAAGTTTTCCGCCGGGAGAGAATGCCACAGTCCGAACTGGCTTGACCAGCCCTACAAGGATATCAGACAATCTCACTCCTGATCTTTCAGTGCTGATATGGGAAAAAAATACCTGACAAGCTGAACGGCATTCGCCCAGTTTCTGTACTGAAGATGTAGACACTGCCGTTCTCATGCCCACTGGCTATAAAGCGGCCATCCGCAGACTGCAGGGCTCGCATGAGCATTTCGACTGACAAGGTGGCAGGTTGAACATACCATGTCCAAGCAAGTGCCAAAACTACCCTTGGTTTCGTAGTCTCGAATCAACTCGCCGTTGGCATTGAGATCCCATACTCTGATGTGTCCATCCTGGGTGACACCAGCGAGGTACTGTCCGTCATCTGACAAAGCTACAGCCCAGGTACCAGCAGCACCAGCCAGGTTTCCTATTGATCCATCAGTTACAAGTCAAAGTGGTTAATTTTTGAAGTATGAAATGAGTCCGGTAGATCAAGAAGGACTTGAATTGTGATACCTGAAGCGGCGTCCTCCTTGGACCAAGTTCCCTCGCGGCAGCCCCAGACATTGATCTCTCCACCAAAGCCCACACTGACTGCTCTGGAGCCTTTTCCATTTGTCACTATATGGTGACAGCCGACTTTGTGGGCGCCATCAATGGATTGCACCAACGGGAAATCAGGATCTGTTGTAGAATGAATCTTGAGCGCAGTTGCACCAGAAGCCGACAGGATTTGAGTGTCAGTAACAGCCAGTGAGAAGATATCGAGAGGATGAGCTATATCCCGCATAAACCTAACACAGTTAACAGAATTCAGCCCAGGAAAGAAGTGAAAGTGTCAATCTTCTTATGTATACTGACCATTGTCCGCGGAACCCCACGACAGGTATTGTTTCGACTATGTATGTTCAGATGTGCTGGAACAACAATGGCAATTCTCTTTCAGGCTCTTACCATATTTAATCTATCTGATTCATGGGGGCCACTTGGATTGTCTCGTGTCTACCTGTTGATTGAAGGGAATATTCGAATTGCTGAAGCTCGTTAAGATGAGAAGTTGGTCGCTGGTACTCCGTAAGTGGTGGGTGATCGTGGGACATAACCCAAGTCTTTGCTGGTGAGATCATGGGCGCGAGCGGCCACGAGTCCCACCATACACTTCAATGCAGTACTCTTTTCAAGTGGAAACTTAAGAGGCTGAAAGTTTGAGTGCCGTCGATATCAGGCAATTATTGGTTTGAAGGTTTCAATGACTATACACTAGCAAAGCAAGAGAAAAATAATTGAGAAACAAAATATTTACAGGGGCTTTCCCATCAAACCAGACGCCGAATGTCATGCAGCATATCCTATATCCCAGCTGTATAAAAGTACAGGGCTCTCGATACCTCAAATCTATCATTCTTGAGTTTTCATGGTTCAGTTTTCACGGCTCACTGTCCTTTCAGCCACCGTTGTATTTCACTCATACCGTCTGGGTGTGCTTCCATTGCTTCTTAATGTCTAACCAGGAAACAAGTCATCAGACTCTCGAAAGACCAATGCATTCGATGGGCGATAACATACCTTCAACACAGTGCGGACATAAAACATGAGCACGCTTCATTTGACCGCATCCAGAACAAGTGTTGAGGTTTTTGAGGTCTTTTAAAGCCTTGCCAGCCATCTGCCTATGACGCTTCTTCATGTGGGATGTCTTCTTTTTGGGTACAGCACGCAGGATGGAATCCCAGATGCCGGAAATGATGCCGGGAAGGATCAATGATAGTGCTGCAGGTCTCAGCAGCTGATGGGGGAGGATCGGAGAACTCTGTAAAAACCGCGACCATCGTCCTGCAGCGGAGGATAGAGGTTCCGAGGACAGAAGCACGCGAGAAAACATGTACGACGAGGTGGTGGACTGGAACATTCGTGAAGTCATTTTTTGGGTATCGGTCGTTGCCGTCGGACCGTAAGACAGACTGGCGGAGCGGAATTGAAACAGCCTTTTACGTTGCTTTGCCTGTTCAAGAGCACAAGAATTTTGGACTTGTCGGAAATCTGAAGCTTTTCCTGGCAGACCTGCGGTTTGCTGTGTTTGGATCCGGAGATTCACTAGTCCTGTTACGGTATAGCCGTCCCCCTGAGTCGCGACAACAGTTAAGGGGGTTCCATAAGGTAAGTCATCAGATATCTATTAGCATCTCTTCTACTCCAGCTAGGAACTCCAGACTGGCATTCTTGGGGGTCATTCAGAATACCGGTTGATTTCATACGGAGCTTTCTTGGTCAGCTTTTGTTTGTTCTATCTTGGCCTGTCCGCATCCAAATATTCCACTTTCCATTGCTCAATTCCCCGATTTGATTTGGAAGTCATAACCAACAAGAGATAAACAGTCCTTCACGATGGCCACCACAGCCAATTCCAATTCGACCACCCCAGCTACTGTTTTTCCTCGCAGCCATGTTGGCTTTGACAGTATTACATCTCAGATTGAGCGGAAGCTCTTGAAGCGTGGCTTTCAGTTTAATGTGATGTGTGTTGGTACGTGGGCGGAAATTGTCCCGTTGCTCGTTGAACGAACTCCCGTTAACTGTTCCTTCTACACTATCAATAGGCCAGACAGGTCTCGGAAAGTCAACTCTGATTAACACCATCTTTGCTTCCCATTTGATCGATTCTAAGGGACGTCTGACGCCCAACGAACCCGTTCGATCGACCACGGAGATCCAGACTGTCTCTCACAGTGCGTTGGTGCCGGAGGATAAGATCTTCGACAGATCTTCGTCAGGGACGTCTTGCTAACGGCTGCTTGCTAGTCATCGAGGAGAATGGAGTACGCCTCAGGTTGAACATTGTTGACACTCCGGGATACGGCGATCAAGTCAACAATGATAGGTGGTATGGATTTAACCTACCTGCTCTTCGATGATTAAGCTGATTGTGCCATAGTTGGGACCCAATTGTGAAATACATTAAGGATCAGCACTCAGCATACCTTCGAAAGGAGCTTACTGCTCAGCGTGACCGCTATATCCAGGATACCCGTATCCATTGCTGTTTGTTCTTCATTCAGCCATCTGGCCATGCGTGAGTCCGGGACCATAAAAGTCATCCATAACTCAATCTCGCTAACCCTGCAAATGTAGCCTCAAACCCATTGACATTGTTGTCTTGAAGAAACTCTCGGATGTTGTCAACGTCGTTCCAGTGATCGCAAAGGCAGACTCGCTCACTCTCGAGGAACGCCAGGCGTTCAAGGAGCGCATCAAGGAAGAATTCACTTTCCACAATCTGAAAATGTACCCCTACGATAATGACGAACTTGATGACGAAGAGCGTGCGGTTAATGCCCAAATCAAGGTCAGACCTTCTACTACCCGTGCTGCGTGCATGCCCTGCCCGCCTGTCTCTAACCCTCTCCTAGGACATTATTCCATTCGCCGTTGTCGGCAGTGAGAGAACTATTGTTGTTAATGGTCAACAAGTTCGCGGCCGACAAAACCGCTGGGGTGTCATCAATGTCGAAGACGAAACCCACTGTGAATTCGTCTATTTGAGAAACTTTCTCACTCGCACTCATCTCCAAGACCTGATTGAGACAACAAGCCAGATTCACTACGAGACTTTCCGTGCGAAGCAGCTTCTGGCCTTGAAGGAGAGCAGCGCCGCCGGGGCACATTCTGCTGGCAGCCGGCCTATCAGCCCTTCTGCCGACCGTGAACTCAGTCGCAACTCGCAACGGATGACTATGAATGGCTATTAGGTGCTCGTAGTGATTGTCTCTCAGGATCAATCTAATAGTTTGGGCTGGCCAATGTCCACAAACATACTGCAGTCATCTCCGGGCCACGCCCAAACAGCGATAAAGTACCCGCAAGGACGTTTCTCTTCCTCCACTTGCCTTCCCATTCGGTAACTTCCGTTTTACTCTAGCAGCCTTTTACAGATATCCTTTTCAGCTTTCATATTGTTCATCAGGACTTGTGCTTTTTTAGTTTTGCTTTATCTTCTCCTCTCCGTTCAAGAGAGTGACCGGGCCTACCACATTTCCTAGATTTGTCGTCTCCGGACGGAAAAGAGACTAACATTCGAATTGCTAGTTTAGTCTTACTGCTCATGTATTTAATTTCTCTTATGTTCGTCAACGGGCAAAAGAAATCCTTTGATTAATGGGCTTCTGTGAGCCGAAGTCCGAAAGGCAGATGATGCATTGTTCCACTATCGCAACCGAGAGTATCTACAGTCGCTGAGGTATACGGCAGGGCTGATTGAATACAAAACACACTAAGACATTGTCAAGAAAATCATTGACGCGCTCCAAAATTACCACCGTCGACTATCCAATCCCGCAGCTCCATATAAGCTTTCTCCAGATCATCGTTCACGACGGTCTTATCATGAGAGCCAGGCTGCGCAGCATATTCAAGTTCGTTTTTTGCTTGAGCAAGACGTTTCTACAGCAAAGTTAGATTCCCCGCGGCATAGTCTGGCGAGTTAGGGGACACCCATACCGTCAAGCTCTCCTCAGTCTCAGTTCCTCTCCCACGCAGTCTTCTCTCCAACTCTTCAATGGATGGAGGCGCCAGAAATAAGAACCGAGCATCAAGATCGGTGCGTTTGACTTGCTTTACTCCCTATTGCAGTTGATAGTCGTCAGCTGTTGTCTCGGTGGAATTATACTTTTCCGGTGATAGTTTTCCCTCTCCTTCTCTCCACCATATCAATTCATGTTTCAGGAAATCATTACCTCCATCTCAATGTCGAGAACGCAGATCTTGCCCCTTTGCGCAACATCCTTCACTGCCTGCACAGTAGTGCCGTAGTAATTGCCGCCAAACTGAGCATGCTCGATAAAGGCATTCTTGCTCACGAGATCCAGGAACTCTTCTTTAGTTGTGAAGTAATACTCGCGTCCATTCTCCTCCCCCGGACGGGGTGCTCGAGTGGTATCTGGTTATAACAGATATCGTTCAGCGCAATTCCCCCAAAAGAAACAGTTCGTAGACAGAGTCTGGAAGGATTGGTAGGGGGGTAGACTTACGAGACACGGATAAATCGAAAGTATCGGGGTAGTCGGCGAAGAGTCTCTTGAGCAGGGTCGACTTCCCAGTCCCAGAAGGACCCGATACCACCACTGGACGGAACCTTTGCACTGCTAGATAGGTCAGTTAACTGCATTGAGAAATACGACAATAGGTGTTGGAATGAGAAAGCGCACCAGCACCGGTAGCCATTGTCAATCGGGAGTACCAAGAATTCAAAGAGGAGCGTGTATCAATCAAGTTCCCAGCTGTACGAGAGCTGAATAGGCGAAGCATAGGCCAGAAACGTGTGCAGAAAAAGCCAAAAATGGTCTCTGTCTTCTCGATAACAGTGTCCCACTACGGTGGCAGAAAGAAAGCGGTGACTCCAAGCTTGTTTAGTGCAAACGTCGCAAACATACATACGGTTTCAGCATTATTACTACTAGAATGGGAAAAAAGATCAAAGCTAGTCGGTGAGCGAATTGTGGAATTCGATAAGGGCCGGCTTATCTTACAGAAGATGCTAGTCTTCTACATATTTCAAGGCAGAGCCACCCTGACAATCCTTCAGGGTTTCAGCGATTCTTGATTCCCGCTAGCCTGTGACTCCTGCTCTAGGAAATTGGACCAGAGTTCGGCCAGTGACTCTTTGCTTGGGTTCCCGTGGTCCAAGAAATCCGTGGCTAGGGTAGGCGTGCTGGGTGTACGATGCATGGATATACTCGGTATTTTGAGCTTGCCGGCAGTACTTGATGTTCCTGGGCGTGCAAGGCCTGCTTGCTCACGCTGCTCTGTCGCCAAGTGTCAGTGTCATTCACAGTTCGCATCATCGAGTATGCATGATGTCTTCGCATACCGTCCGTCCACCCCAGAAGTGCTGCGATAAGCTGCAGTATCTGAAACTTCTTCGGGTCTGATCGATCAAGGGCGAGAAAATGCAACAAATGGTTTGTAACGATGTGCCTAGATAGCTTTAGTAAAGAAAAAAAATCAGCAAGGCAGCACGCCTCAAATTCTGACTAACCTATCAACGTTATCCTCAGCTCTGCCTTTCTTGAGGAATCGTAAGGCTTTGGTGAGATGGTCGTTCAGTGTCACTGCCTCATGTCTTAACTTCCCGATCAGGAGGTTCTTCTCCTTGACTTCTTTCTCAAACGGCTTTACCCTTTCAAGCTCCTTCTGAGCAGCTTGAAGAGCTTTCTCGGCCTCGAAAGCTTTAGCCTCGGCGTCTTGGAGAGCCTGTCTTAGCTCCTCAAGCTGAGTGTTCGAGCTTTCCACGAGATCACGGAGTTCTTGTTTCCGAGCTAGAAATAGTTAGTGTCGAGGTCAGTCAGGGGGCTGATATACACAAGATATGCTCTACCTGTCTGAATCTCTTGCAAAGCACGTTGTAAACCATCCACGGTGGCTAACTGAGAATCACGCTCGGAAACGACCTTCTCATACGAGTCCTTAAGAGCGACCAGCTGCTCTTCAAGGTCGGTGACCTTTTCACCTAGGCTCTCTCTTATAGATCGCTCCTCCATAGCGAGGATCTCCCAGTTATGCATGGCTTCTTTTGCTTGCTCGAACTCGGACTGCAGGTATGATTCTCGTTCCAGGAGCTCCTCCTTTTCCTTCAGCCAATTCTGCTGAGATAGGTTACTTCGACTTCTCAGTGTAGCGATTTCGTTTGACTTCTGCTCGTTATCTTGGGTGAGCTCTGCCAGCTCCGAGTTTTTCGCATCCAAGGCATCTCTCAAGCTTGAATTTTGTTCCTCGAGCTCCTCGATCTTGGAGTTGGCTTGCGCAAGTTCTTCCTGTGGATTGCTTAGCCCAGCCACTTATGATGGTGCTTGAGATAAAGACTTCAACGTACAGCATCTTCTTTGAGCCTTTCACCCAGCTGCGCTTTGATGGTGTTCACTCTTTCCAGAAGCTTCTGAAATTGTGCCTCTGCGTGCTCCTTCTTGCTTTCGGCATCGTCCAATTTCTGTTGAAAAGCTTCCATCTCTGCGCGGTGTTTGAACTGTATTTCCTCCAAAGATTTGCGCATGTCTGTGACTTCGGCGCGAAGAGAGTCTCGATCTCGAACAAGAGCGTCAAACCTGTCCGACGAGGGTGACTCTGGATCTTCACTTTCTTTTCCAGGTGCATCATCATGGATATTTGGGTCCGCAGATTCTTTCGATGAGTTGTACTCAGCTTCATTTCCTCCGGATGCCCCAACAAGCGTAGCCTGAGCTGTCGTAAGTGGCTGTGAGTCCTGTTGCCTAACGTTAGCGAAGATTAGACATGGCAGCTATCTCTTTGCGGGGCGTCACGAACATTGGGTTCCTGCGTGTCAAGAAGACTATCAGTTTGTTCACCCAAAGGCCCGTCTACATTCCCGTCCTCGGCCTTGACATCTTGGGCTTCCTTTTTTTTTGCAGTGCCCTTGTTCTTCTTGCTCTTTTTCGACTTGACGGCTGCTGCTGAGTTGTCAGCGTGATTTCTGGGCAGAAAACTTGTAGATTATTCATTAAAGCAAACCACTCAGTAACCTACCTTCGGGCATCTTGTGTAAATGGTAGTTCAAGGAAGCTTCGGTGGGATGGTAATTGTTTAAACGGCCGACGCGACTCTGGGTACTCCGTACCAGATCCAGGGCATAGCTGTCAACACCACTAGCGCGGTTAGACTTGTTCCGAGCCAAGTCCGCATCCTAGTTACGACATCCAGAGCGAGCCCACTCTAGTACAGGTAGCAAGCACATATCGATACATGCTGATAATGTGGCATTACAATTCCATTCTTACGCTGGGAGTTACAAAATGTGAACTTGCGTTCGAGGGATGGGAACAAAAATGTGTCCTAAAGCGGCTCCGCGCATTGCATCTATGCCGTCCACTCTCGTCTCAGTAGTGTGGTGCACTCAGCAGCCATAAGAGCCATGTTTCGTTGTATTGCCAAAGGCCGGATTGGTCCAATGTCGACTCATTTGCCTCGAGAAGCCTCAATTTCTCAAGGAAGAAGTGACTGCAATCGCTCTTGTTCAACCGAGTGATCGACATGAATTTTGATAGCTGGCAAGTTCCATTCACATAAAGTCGTCCAGAAAGTCTGAATCTCGCTCCTGATTGCTGCTCGCCTGCATGTTCTCTTCACTGAACAGGTCATCGTAGGCATGCTCTTTCTGCCATTTAAGCTGTTCACGTTCCCTCTTTTCCTGTTTTTCCTTGGCACGTTGCTCATCTCTCGCTCTTCGTTCTTCCTTTTGCTTTTTCTTCAGAGATTCCTCCTTCTCTGCGCGAAGATCGGGAAATCTCTCCTCGCGAGTCTTGTTGAGCCGATTGACAATTGCATTTTCTCGCTGTCGAACGTACACTTTTCGGACCAATTTGGGATTGTGGAATGAGACCTGTCCAGTCGCCATTGACCCGTCTTTCAGCAAATTTGACCATGGCGTATAAATCACTGTGATGTTATCCTTCTTGTTTCCTGCTCCGCTGATAAGCTTTACCTCCTACTCTTATATTCTGTCACATGAACAGAAGTGCTTCAGGGCTGACCTTCAATGGAATTGGCTTTGGTGAGCTGGGCACAGTCTTCTAAGAGCGGCTGTGGGATCTGGTCCCACGTTTCGCCATCGCGAAGGCGCAGGTAAACGTGAGCACTCGATAGATTATCAACATGAAACTGGGTACTCCATAAGTACAAGAATTCCAACCTCATTATGCTTTGAGTTTTGGACAACAAACCCTGGGGAGATAACCAAGAGTCAACTCTTAGCATTCAGCGCAATGATGAGGATATAGGTGGTGGTCAGCGGTACCAGACATCTTTCTCTAGGCCATATTTGATAAGATCCTCATCTAATAGCAGAGACTTTTAGATCTTGGGCACGTTTCACGAAGTCGAAGAATGGCCGTCATACTTTCAAATTTGTCTTTTCCGACATAGATAAAGGCAGCAGGGTTCACCACATTTGATGTAAAGTAGTACACCATCTTGCCGTTTTGCAGCAAGGGAAAGAAGAACTTCTTGGCTAGCGGGATCACAAGAAAAGTATCTTGAAGACGTGATGGATGATAGGCCCTTCTTGATAAATTCAGTGAGAAATAGCGGGGTGGGATTTTCTAGGTTTGATCATTTTCTCAGGAACTCAAAAGGTGGGGAATTCTAGTACTAGTAGTAGTACTAATACTCCGTACTCCGTAGTTAGTCTACTGTTGTTTTAATAATTAATTTTAGATTCACTCGCTTCCTCCTTTTCCTGTTGAGAGGCTAGGACTACTTTGTTTATATATGAAAAGTTTTACAGTTGTCAGTGATAACTTAGCATCAGTCTTGATATAAGTAGGGGTATTAGGGAGGTTACTTAAGCTTCTAAGGTCTTTCTAATCATGGCGCCTAGATAGGTAGTTTTAGATACAGTCAGAAATCTAGGTACTTTAGCCTCAGTTGATCATTGGTAGTAATAATAAGAGACAAGCTGACAACTACCTCCAGATATGGGATTGGGCTAAGCATCATACAGAAGGAACTCCAATCCAGGCCCAGTGAAACACGGTTGTCTCGGGATCATTTACACCAAAGGTACTCCGTAGTAATACATACAGTCATACACTGATTTGTACAACTCTGCTTTCCTCAGCACCTTTGGGAATATTCTGAACTTTTCATCATCAATAGATCTAATGATCATTTCGAGCCTCTGAACCTATAAATTGCCCACTCGTGTATGATCATTTGCTGCAAACTTGCAAAAGTTCCTTCATATATGCACGCATCATGCCACTCCGACTTCCCGAATCCCAATTGTCCTGGGGATTTGATCATGAGGGTCTTGGGTCACGTAGGACCCGCAAGGCTCTTGCGAGTCGCATGAAACAATTTTTTATCTATGACTCGGAAAAGTACCAACCCTAAACACGGAAATCAAGCCACATACCATCTACATGAAACTGAATTCGAAGTGAGAACGCTGGTTGGATAGTCATTTGTCAACCCGATCTGATGGTATATTAATGCGGCTAGATATATATCATAATTATGACAACTACGGAGTATATAGTACGCTCATCGATAAAGCCAGGTCACCTCCTTCGCATATCCACTATGTCAAGGATACAATTCCCGATACTTTGTATACACAAAGAAGACAGCTTGATTCGGAGACAACAGGGATTTCGATACACCCTGCTGCGAGTTTCTCGGCACGAGCCAGCATGCATGGCACGGAGTGCTCTGCTCATGTTAATAACCTATGACTATATCATCATTTTCGACCAACCGCAACGGCAACAATGTGAAGTTCAAAGGCAAGCGGAAGATAGAAAGTAGCATGGCCTCGCAGACTCACGGTCCTCTGGGATGGACGATTTATGATGTGCCACGAGCAGGACAGGAAGGTCATCCAACCCAATCAGAACCACCTATGTCTCAACGACAGTCGGTCCTGAGTGTCGTTATTATAGATCAGGTGATATCGCATTCATAGGTGCCTTTTCTTCTCCCTTCGCCCTTCCCCTTTTTCGTTTTTTTACAAAGCGGAGGAACTCATTCGGAAAAGGAGAGGTACCTTAAGCTTAGCAGTAATATATCCTTGTCAGGTTCCTAGGGCTGGCAAAGTGGAAGACCGTTACGTATCTACGCAGTGCCTTCGAAAAGACAGACTACACTACCTTATGTCATAGGACATGCATAGTTGCATAAAGTACCAGGTGCACACCTGCAATCATTAATTACAGAGTATCTGTACCTAGCGAGGGAATGTTGCTGAATCTGGTAGTGAGAACAGCCTAAATCCCTCCCTATCCTCCCAGTATAGGACATTATTAATAGCAAGACCTCCGAAACACCCTTGGCTGCGTGGTAGTATTTGTTTCATATTACTACCGACTACTCCGTACACTAGCCACAATGGATGACCATGAGATTGAAGGCAAATTTTCCAAAGTCATTACTTTGAGCCAAATGCGGTCATGCGAGTCATTCAATTGCCTAGCCTTCCGTCGACCATATCGTTGATTTGCTTCACTCACTAGTCACTACTCTAACTCACTAGTCACTACTACTACGTAGCAGTAAAACCACCCAATCTCCACTTGACTCATGCACCGGACACGGCGTACAAATGACATCCATAATTGATGTGGCATGTGGTGGAACCGTGGAAGAGTGGTCAAATGAATTGACACTCGGGACATATTCCGTAGCCCGTAGCCCGTAGTCCGCAGCCCTTAGTCCTTAGTCCGTACCTATGTAAGGTAGTATCCACCTTTCTTCCGACTTCTAAGACCAAGAGCCTACAGAGAAAATTGGTATTGTTTGCCTGTTTCACATAAGCGCCAGCCATTTAGGGATTCCCCCAATACTCAACTAGGAATTTGTACGTACTCTGTATGGAGTAGTCCGTACATACCCCCGGCCCCCGAGTCCACGATCGTCACTTCGGCTCCAAGTAGTTCTTAGTCAATAGTCATGGACTCATGGTACTTAGGTAACTACTGGTCTAGCAGGAGGAGCTGACTTCGGTGATGGCCGCCAGATAGCAATTTATCTACTGTACAAGAATGTGAACCATGAGTGGGGTCGATTTATGTTTAGTTAGTTGACAGTGAGAAAAACCGTTACACCAACTCGACAAGGGATCGATTAGCGTTGGTAACAGTATTAGGCTACGGCGGTAGAACTTATCTAAGTACGTAGGGAGTCAATTACTCCGTAGTTTCTGTTCGTCTCTGACATCTTTGCTACAGAGTATCTAGAGTACAGACTACAGCCTACAGCGGGTATGCCCGTACCAAGACTCCACCTGCCACATGGTCATTATAATTGAATTATTGAACAGAACAAATTGCTCATGGGAGTTAAATCAGCGTGCTAAAAGATCTCCAGGCTCTGTCTAGGCTTCCTTTGTCATATCTCCTGAGTCTATTGCAGGATCGTCGCAATCAGCTGTTGTATGAACTGATTTGTTAGATGTCGAATACACACGTCGCGAATGGCTCGCGTGCGAAAGTGCGAAACTGGGAAGGACGTAGGAATGAAAGAAAAGACAAAAGGAAAGGCAGATCTTCCGAGGGCTGGAAATATGTAGTCGTTCCCAACTTCTCTCAATCCTCGTAGGAGATTCGATCCACGATTGCTCTCCCTTCTCCACCTAGGCTGCATTAATTTAAAAATATTTGGAGGGGGCTTCCTCGACTACGCATTTTGGCAGGGATTTCGATCGATATATTTTAAATCCCTGCAATTAAACTCTCGTTGCTCTCTGGTGCTTTTCTCTCTTTCTCTTTTCCTTATTTCCTTCTTTCTGTCCCTTTCTCATCCACTCTGTTTCTTCCCTCTCTGTCGATCCTCTGGATTGAAGACCCAGCTACTTGCCTGCGAGTCTATTTTCTTTGAGACGCCGACACGCAAACGGCCCTAGATATCTCTCGAGGTGTCGAGGAACATCACTCTCAAGCAGTGACAAATGGCCAATTCTGGAACTCCTGCAGATCGTTCCAACTTCCGCCAAGCACTGGAGCGTGCCCGTAACTGCGATAATGGTGCTGTTGATGGAGAAACGACCAGGATACTCGAGACTGCCATCCAGAATCTGTGGCGGAGAATAGAGAACGCGCCGGATAGCTACGTGCTGAATGGGGACGAATTTGCATTGTTCAACTATTTCCGTGAACGATATCGAAATCAACGGATTGCCCAGTTGGCAGTGGAACGGTTCTGGAACAATTACAGTGGAAACAGCGCAAGCCGTGATGGAAGTAAGACATGACACTTGCTGTTGCGCAAATGGCACCTGGATTTTCAGCGATATGTGCGAGGACCACAATGTCTTTTTTTTTTCTTTTTTGCGTCCTTTGGGGCAATCGACTTGACTAAGTGGTCCGTACGCTTCAGTTGCATGTCAAGCCTGACCGTCGACGACTCTTGGAGGCTCGAGAGTGGAATCTGACCATCAAAATCAATGTTCCTGTGGGCAGCTGGCTGTGACATTGGAGCTGTAATCCGCGGGTCCAGAATGACTGTTTAACCATGCTTAGATGGCAGCTGTACCTGCCAAGCAAGAGCTGGAAGGGCTGAACGAAATACCTTCCGTTGGACGATGTTGCCGGGGTTGAACCAGCCTTGGGAACTCGCTCATGTCTTCTGCATGTGCCCGAGAAGAGGTCAGCCATTCCCGTATGTGCAGACCTGATTTTCTTCTTTTTTCTTTGGCGGGACGACCTTGATCGACTTTCATGATCTTTGGTTCAAACTCGGCACCACACTTCGCCTGAACCCAAACCCCTCTACACACATTCGGATTTGACTTGATGCAGCAGGGCTGCGAGGTTTTCGAGTCTAGAGCGCCATTCTTTCTCAAATAATGTATCTGCAAACGATCAAAAGTATAATAATTTCTTTTCTGTTCCGTAGCCAGTCTTGAACATGGATCAACACTGCTCATACTGGGTCAACCCGTTCGCCAAAATGATTTGTTGGGCTTGGGCCTGGACTACTAGTCATATAAGCACCAGGCGATCAATTCGCACTGGCAATAAAAACAGCTATCTGGATAGACCATGCCATTATTCATATTTACCATGACTAAATTATTTCGATTAGATTATACATCCTGCATAATCAGCTTAAGCAGGGAATTTAGTGGTTATAGATGATTTGGTCAGAGCTACTGTTGATGATAGATGAATGTCATTCGCTGAATGGACAATATTTCAATGACGAAATATATAATTGGTCTATACTACATCGGGAGATGTAAAGAAGTAACTTGACTATGTAGGTAGCTATAATTTAATCCACTGTGCATTCACTACCATAGACGAGTCGCCCACTTATCTATGTGGCTTGATGATTATATATATGGCATGGAGAAGGCAATGTAAAGGAAAAAAAATAAGAAACTCACTGCAAAATGGTACCAGGTCGCGCCCGGAATCGAACCAGGATTGCCAGAATCAGAATCTGGAGTGATAACCATTACACTACGCAACCAGTGGATGTTGACTCCATGTGAGGTATTCAATATATGAAAATAACGGCGATGTAGCCAAGAAACCTAAAAAGTAAAAGGTCGTGCCCGGAATCGAACCAGGATTGCCAGAATCAGAATCTGGAGTGATAACCATTACACTACACAACCAGGCTATTTATAACATACCCAACTTCAGAATTCACTATATAGCCATATTTACAGGTTCAATTCAACTTTTGACTTACTACAGGCCCCGGAGAAAGCGCAATACAGAACCTATACCTATTTTATTAACTGTGTCTCGGTCGTCATCTTCCTATAGGTAAATTTTTCAAAGTATTGCGAGGAGAGTTCTCCAGTACTCATTGACATAGTCAGGTTGGCAGATGGCTCTGTTCATGATGTATTACTTCATGGAGTTCACAATATTCTTCATTACCTGGGTTTCTAGTAATGTGTTCTGTATCCCATGTCTTCATCTTCAGTCACCTTTGGCGCTCTAATTGGAGGTGGACTTCTCATGAAACTAGCTTATCTGATCATATCTCTAGCATGGTTGCCATTGACTGTGTAATACAGCACCATTATGTTGTGCCAGCCTTATAATGAGCTATTACTCGTTGCCTGCCTAGCTAACCCACCCTTCCTGGGGTTGGTTCGGCCACGCCTATATGGGAAATCACTTTCCATTTCGGAAAGTACGAACTTTCTACATCAAATAATTTAGTAGTAATAACACTTTGGACGTAAAAACGGACGGGGAAATGTATTCAGATAATTTATGTCTCCTCAGTCCCTAGTATGTACTTAGTATAAACTACATACGGAGTAATAGTTTATATATGAACTAAGTGCGAAGTGAGGATTACATACCCAAAATCCCCAACTATTTGATTTCTCACTCTTGGAATGTAGTTATCTGTCCATATGCAGAGCTAAGATAATAGTAAATACAAAGTGGAACTAAATCAGTATATTAGATCCTCGTTGTCATGCGATAACCAATAACCAATATAGAATCACTACTCTACATGGAAAGTGATTCTCCGCAATGGCTGTTTCTTCACGGGTCGGCCAGGCAGGCGACGAGTCTCTGACTCCGTCCGCAAATCCTTATTGGTGTTTTCTGGATGCTAAACCCTGCGTAGTAACCCAATTAGTACTGAGGTACTGCCTTCCTTTCTGTACTCAGGAATTGGTGTCAGCTCACATGTACCTACTACGGAGTAGATCAGCCATGAATAAGATTAGGCAAAAAGTTAGTATCACTGAGAAGCCCAGCACCATAGGTAGGACATAGGAATGAGTGTGTAGATAAGTCACCAGCAGACTCAGCAGTCACTGTCTGCTGGATCTGGTAATTCATGGCAAACCTCATTCAAAAACCAAGCTGCTGTGAGGAGGCTAGCTGGAAAACCACAAGGCCAAAAGACCAACATTACCGCAAGATGCCAGGCATCTCGCGACCAGGCCCATATAGTAGTGCACTGGATAGATTCCTTGCACTGCTGCCAATCATAGTGTCAGGCAAACCAGCAATAGTACCAATCCCCACAGTATAAATTGAGTACCGGTGAAATACTCCGTTCAGACAATTGAGTCAAGCTACTGTGGAGGAGGAATTTACTTCAGTACTACCTTGATGTACATTATTGAAGGGTGAGGCCCTGCCCCTATGATATCTTGACAAATGTCAGGCAATGTCAATTCTCATGAGGTATGAGGAGAAGAGATAAAAGGGAAAAAAAATATGACAGATACACATCTGTCAGGATGACATGAGGAAAAGGTCGCGCCCGGAATCGAACCAGGATTGCCAGAATCAGAATCTGGAGTGATAACCATTACACTACGCAACCAATGAGGTGAGAAAATTTTTTTAATTACTATAGAATGCAATTTTAACTTCTGGGTTAATTAAGGTATGCACGAAAGTTGGATCTGAGCTGGTACCTGGGTAATCAGGCAGTCAGTACTCAGCACTAATTAAATACCTTAAAGAATCCCCACCGAAACCACTCAAGACATCAATTATGTGAAGGTACTTTTGCAGATCTCATTGCTGGCCAGCAAGGGAACTCTACTCTGTACAGTACTAGGTACCTAGTACACTGAGCAGAGGCAAAGGAAGATCCGCATTTCCGACCTGCAAGAGGCATCATTTCAAACACTACTATTTATTCTAGATGCAGATAGACATAGATTAAGGCACACAGGCACCATGTGCCTCATTTAAATAAGTACTAAGTTGGTCGAGCCGTAATTTCCATCTAGAATAGAACTAGGTACAAGAAGTGTAGAGTACTCTGTATAGAGGTCACACCCTAATGCACAATGACTAGCCAGAAAAATTCCACATTAATGCTTGTTAAGCAGTTACATTTTTTTTAGATATAGGCATAAATGTCTGCCATTTCAACAGTTCTGAGTACTGTTGCTCCTATTTCCCTCTAGAGCCCTGAGGCCCCTAAGCCCCTGGTTACTCTTCATGGATGGCATGCACAGCTAGGGAGTTTTTACTTCCCATGCACAGACTAGAGTTTCTTTTTTTTTTTTTTTAAAAAAAAAAAAGAAAAAAAAGTAAAACCCTCCCCTGTGGCAGATTCATATAGTGCAGAGCTCTAAATGTAATTCTAGTGTGGATTATGACAACCTGGCATGATACTGTAGGTACATTACATGGCCTCTGTTTTACCCAAAGCACTTGTCGGGTCCTGCCTTGATGTTGGTTAGAATATTTTATGAAAACTTAAATTTTGAGTTTTTAAGCACCGTTTGGTTGCGTAGTGTAATGGTTATCACTCCAGATTCTGATTCTGGCAATCCTGGTTCGATTCCGGGCGCGACCTGGTACCATTTTGCAGTGAGTTTCTTATTTTTTTTTGTCCTCATCTTGACCGCTCATCCTACCCCCATGCCTCTAGCATGTGAGGATGGACAAATAATAGGGGATCACTTCCACTGCAAAATCATCTGATTTACAGTTATGTCTGTAAATAGCCTTTAAGCATCTAAACCCGACACTGTCACCTTGGTCTTTCTGATAGGATTACTATTATTATAAGAGGGTAGTTACACTACGAAGAGTAAGTGACCAATCTTTAGATGGGTCATAGTAGTACATGGTTATGACTAACGTAGTGCAGTAGTTCAATGAAATGGATTCATAGGATGATGAAGTCAAATATATGGCTTCCTTACACAGGTAGGTTGTGTAGTGTAATGGTTATCACTCCAGATTCTGATTCTGGCAATCCTGGTTCGATTCCGGGCACGACCTTCTATTTTTCCCAATGCAGATATCTTTTCATTAAAGGACTTTTTTTTAAGCTTTTCCATTCTGTCTTTTCCCTCAACTTGTTACCAACAACAATGGCGATAGGAACTTTCCATGGACTTCATAGTACCTTGCCAAGCAAGCCGTGCTTTGTGAAACTGAACACTCTTCGAAGCCTTGTGGCAGGAAAGCTGCAATTGCTACTCGAAGTAGGCTGCTCTCGACGAATGTATGCTTTGGTATTCCATTCACGTCGCACGCTAGCTGCGGCAGTGAAACATTTGGTAATTCTGCTGAAGCCGGGAAAATAATGGACTATATCAACAATGCAGAAGAGTGAGAATACTGAGGATCAATTGGCACGTTCAAAGCAAAAAGGGACATTTTCGGCATATATTACAAAATTTCGCTCTATATATATCATTATCATGTCTATTTATTGACCGGGGAGTCAGGGCTGATCAACGGATCAAACGATTTTGAGCTATCTTTGCCCATATCACCGCTGAGCATGTCTGCT